TAAAAATAAAATTTAAATAAATCAATAGTTAAATCATTCTAAAATAAAATGAAGATTGTTTTATGGGTCATCTCCAATTCTGAATCTACCAATGGGCAGATTATCATCATATTCTTTTGTGCCTTAGAGAAACAAATTACCAGCCCATTAGAAATGTAACTTATTGTCCTCAAATGTTAAAGGTTCCTAGTACTCCAAATATCTAGTCTACTACCAAGCTATTTCCTAAATAGGTTACTATTGTAACAATGTGAACTCAGAGCTACCCATGGAAACTGATTTAAAGACTGGTTTGCTGTCGTCTACTAAACTCCAACTCTAGAGAACAAAGCCAAGCTGTCCCACTGCGCTTCCAAGTTTCTACTTTTTTACAGAAGCCAACTGCCCTATCTTCCTCCCAGAGTTGCTGGTGGGTTCAAACCACCAAACCTTTTAGGTTAGTAACTAAACTGCTCAATTTCCTCAGTAATCTTACTCTTCTTACTTCACACATTCAGTGAACAACCAGTCTATCCGTTCTGATTCCATACAATCAACACATATTTACTGCAAGCTAAAACAATGTGTGCAGAAAAAAATAAGGCAGAAGCCACAGCTCATCTCTTCCGATGAACTGGCCCCTTACAGTGTTCCCCCGCCTTCTTCACAGTCTCTTTTTATTAAATTGCTTCTTAGGACTATAATTTCACTTCTGGAAGTTTACTTGACCACAGTGGTCTGGGTGTTGGGCAGCAAATTCAAACCCACTAGCTGCTCTGCAAGAGAAAGAAACTGGATGTTCCCCTCAGGATTGAGTCTCAGAAACCCTAATAGGGGTGATTATGAGTTAGAATCGAACCTCCAGGCAGTGAGTGTGGTTTGAGTTTTACTTGGTAATAATCATTTAGTTCTCTGGAACATGTGCAATTACGTTCAACATCTGTAACATTAATACTTATTTCTAAGGGAATAAGCCCTAAGTATCTGTACTACAATAATCAGACTCCATCCCGAGTATTGGAAAGAGAAGAAATAGGAATCAAACAAATGTGGCTTTGAATCCAAACTGTACCACTTATTAGTACATGTAATCTTATACTTCTTATATAGCCCTGACCACTTTCACTCTCAGGCTTCTAGAATAAGGGAGTATATACTGATATCTCTGCCATTAGGCTTATCAGCCAGCCAGCACAGGTAGTTAAAAAGTATTCATTGAGTAAAAAAAAGTTTTCAAACTTAGAAGCTAGTCCTTAAATTTATACAGGGCAAAAATGTGCCCTATATAAGTTCCCAAACCTCTCAAATTCAAAACTTGGTGTATATTTTGACATATTAAATACGTTGACGAGACCTTCCAATAACTTACAATTAGAAAGAATACAGTGAACCCTCGTTTATCGCGGTTAATCG